GCAATGGGATACCTTGGCCCTTTTTAAGCTAAGGTCTTTCCCAGATCTCAGTTTGTGGCAACAGCCATTCAGGGATTTAAGACTAGGTAAGAAATGAGCCAAAAGATGGCCTAGTTTGTCTACTCAAAAAAGAAAAAAAATCAAAACTGTAGGGGGAAGACCCTCAGGGTTTCTGGCCAGAACAGAAACTATTTACAACACTATTACAACACTGCTATTTACACTCATTCTGACCCAGCCAAACCCAAACAATGACCAAGTGAGGCTTGGGCTGGGACCTATTATTGGCCGGTCTATGAAAGCCAGAGTGATTTTGGGTTTAAGGCATGGTCAAGTAGTTCCCCTTGAATCTCAAAGGGCTTTATCAAAGCCTGGTTTTCCAGAGAACTATTTCAGAAAGCATAAATGAAACTACATGAGACAAAAGAATTAATTATTCTCAGACACTTACTAGCTATGTGACCCTGGGCAAGTCACTAAACCCCATTTGCTTCAGTTTCTTTACTTGCAAAATGAGCTAGAGAAGGAAATGACAAACTGTTTCATTACCTTTACCGAGAAAACCCCAGATAAGATCAGGAAAAGTCAGACATGACTGAATAACAGGGACATTGAGTTTCTCCTGCAATTATTTAAGTTCTTTGTTAGAGAGGGTCCACCCACTGCTTGCTGTCTTTGGGCAAAGTCACCATCCTCCTCCAAGGAATAGGGTTAGAAAAAAAAATTTTTTTTAATTTTTTAAAAAAGCGTATAGGGTTAAGGATAAGCCTGGGGCCATCTAACCACCAGTGGGGATTCCTCAATCTCAGCCCCAACTCTGATTTCTTTCTCCAGTATCATGGCTCCTAAGAATCTAAACCTCTAGATCAGAGACCTGGCTGCATCCCTGGTTCCCTAGGAATATACCATCTCTAGCTCGTTGGTTCCTACCTGGGGTCCCGCAGTCCTCACCCCCACCAAGAAAGATACCTACACTTGCACAGCCATTAGTTCCTCTAGCTGCCCCCCAAAAGTTGAGAGTTCTTTCTCTAGATGCTGAATACATAGACCCAATTTACTTTCTGTCTGATTACACTGACAGTCCAACTTTTATGCAACATGATCAACAAGGATTCTTAGTCTTGGCACTTTCATTACCCTGCTAGGCAACCTCCTCCAGCACCTACCAAACCAATCCATCTTCCTGAACTGCTGTTCATCCCACAGAGAGGACTTCCCATACATGATCAGGAGGGCTCTGTCCACAGAGAGCCAGACAGTGTTCTTCCATCAAGACATATCACATACCTCCTTATTTGCCAGTCTCTTCTCCCAACTTAATCATACTGGGAGCCATAAAGTCATCCATCTCTTATCCCAACCTGCAAAGACTGTGTCAAATGTGATAGGCAGTACTCTAAAGCCAGTGCCCTCTCCTTTCATTTTAAGATGTTGGGGAAAAATGAAGCACTCATAAGTCACTCAACATTTAACAAAATATATTTAATTTGCCCTGCTACAGCAAGGATATGCAATAAGGATACAGTAGCAATTCTCCTCTTGGTACATGACTAGCCTCATCTCCATCTGAAAAAACATTTGGTCAGTTAGTCATCAGGATATGATGACTCATTGGTCCTGGGCACCCACCAAATCCAAAAAGCAGTGACTACATGATGCTGGGACTTTTATGCCTCCAGATCAGAAAATTGCATCAGAGAAGCTGGACCCAATCTGGTTGTGGAGAAAGAAAGCTGTGTCAGAGTCAGGGAAGCTACATCAGGTAATGTGGAGAATGGAGTGTAGTGTACTGAGACTGGAGGCATGAAGAACAACTAGCAGGTTATCACAATGGCAAACATTGCAATTGTGAGGTGATGGGGGCCATAAATAGGGTAGTGGCAGTGTCTGAGGAGAAGTAGGTATATAAGAGAGATGTTATAAAGGTAGGAAGGCCAGAACTTGACAACTGATTGGATATGGGGGGTGGTCCCCAAAGAGAGTGAGGAGTCAAGGATGAGCCTGGGTGACTAGGAGGATGGCGACACCCTCAATAGTAATAGGGAAATTAGGAAGAAGGGAGGATTGGGGGAAGGGGAAGATAATAAGTTAAATTTTGGACATGTTGAACTTAAGCTATCTGTGAACATCTAGTTCTATATTTTTTTTAAAAAACTGGAGATGTGAGATTGGAGATTGGAAGAGAGAGTAGGGCTAGATAAGTAGTTCTGAGAGTCATCTGTAGAAATGAAAAGTGAAACCAAGGGAACTAATAAGATGACTGAGTGACATAGTTTAGAGAGGAAAGAAAGCTCAAGAAAGAGCCCCATGTTCAACCGATGTAATTTGGATGAAGATCCAGGAAAGCAGCCAGGGAGTGGTCAAACAAATAGAAGGAGAACCAAAAGAGAACAACATCATGAAAACCTAGAGAGAAGAGAGTATCAAGGAAAAGAGGGTAATTGACACTGTCAAGGCTGCCCAGAGGAGTCAAGAGGATAAAGATTAAGAAAAAGCCATTAGATTTGTCAATTAAGAGACAATCAGTAACTTTGGAGAGAGAGGAATTTCACTTCACTGATTATGTCAGAAGCCAGACTGAAGAGTTAAGAAGAGAGTTAGAGGAAAGAAAGTGGTGGCCCCAATTGTAAGTGTCTTTCTCAAGGAGTTTAGCCACAAAAGAAATGTAGGACTTCCAGCCAAGCATTACTAATGAAAAGACCAGAACTGTATAGAAACTTTGAAGTGTAAACATGGGAGATAAGAGAAACCTAAAAAAGTAAACAGGAAGGAACAATCAAAAGGACAAATAAAAGATAAATTGGTTATATTCTAACATGGGGAGGTGATATATCTGTCCCCTGAATACCTTATCATCATCAAGGGTCATGGAGGGAGAATAATTAGAAAGAGGGCCTATGAGTGGTTCAATTATGTTTTGATTATTTTGAAGGAAGCATGGAAAGGGAAGAAAAGAATATACTAGGGGAATATTCTAAGAGGAAAGGAAGGATATGGAAAATTATCTCACATAATCAGGGTGCTCAAGTAAAAGTCTACACAAAGGAGGAAGAAAGGGGAGGAGAATGGGTGACATTTGAACCTCATTCTCATTTGAGCTTGTAAAAGGAAAGAATACTGTATGCATACACACACAAGGGTACAGAAATACACTTCACTCAAGTAAACAGGAGGGAAAAGGAAGAAGAGAGAGGGAAGAATGAGAGAGGCTAGATTAAGGGAAAGATTAGTCCTAAGCAAAAAAAAAAAAAACTCTAAGAATGTACAAAAATATTTGTAGCATCTCTGTTTGCAGTGGCAAAGAACTGGAAACTGATGGGGTGCCCAACAGCTGGCTTTCTTGCTGTTCAAGTATGTCTGACTCTTTGTGACCCCATTTGGAGTTTTCTTGGCAAAGACACTGGAGTGGTTTTGCCATTCCTTCTCCAACTCATTTTACAGATGAGGAAATTAAGGCAAAGTGACTTGCCTAGGATCACACAGCTGGTAAGTGTCTGAGGCCAGATTTGAACTTACAAGAGATATAATAATACATATATTAATATATAATAAAGAATGAAAATTACAATGAGGTGCTGGACCTGAACTTTGATTACATTAAGCTATCCCCAGTCTTGGGCAATCTATTCAAAGAATTTATCCCCACTCAAACCTAAGTGGAACACAATGGTTGCACCAGCTGGGTAGGGTCTGGCTAGAGAAAAAAGTTAGCTCAACCTTCAGACACTGAGCTCTTGAAATGGGGATAAAAGAAGAAGGGGAAAATCTGAATCTCCCCAAATCATTAGTCATTAATAATCATTTCATTCAATCTATGGCACTACCTAGCTGCCCATCAATAAAAATTTTAACTATTATTATTATCTATTATATCCAAAACATAATTCATTATGCTCCCCCTTAAACCCCTGCCTCTTTCTAATTTTCTGGTTTCTGTTGAAGGCACTACCATTCTTCCAGTCTCCCAGGTTGGCAACCTTGGAATCATCCCTCACTTTCCCTTCTCCCTCACTTATCCATTCTAATTACATAACATCTCTCATATCCCTTCTGTTCTCTCCACTCACAGAACAACTATATAGTTCAGACCCTCTTCACCTCTCCCCTAGACTATTGCATTAGCCTCATAACTTGTCTCCCTGTCTCTATTCTTTATCTTCTCCTACCCACTCTCCACGTGGTGCTAATTCACAGTTGTATCACTCTCCTGCTCAAGCTCTGGTGCTTTCCTATTATCTCCTTGATCAAATACCAGCTGCTCCATTTGACATCTAAAGTCCTTCACAATCTGGCCCCAGCCTACTTTTTCTGTCATCTCACACATCACCCTCCTTCACACATTCTGTCTTCCAGACAAACTGGCTTATTCCTTCTTTCCCACACATGACAGTCCATCTCATGCCTCTGTACCTTTGCATACATGCCCCAGACCTGTAATGCACTCCCTCTTCATCTCTGCCTTATAAAATCCCTGGCTTCCTCTACAGCTCAAGCATCACCTCTTACATGAGGCCTATCCTAATGCTTACAGTTGCTAGTGCCTCTTCCCCCTAGAAATTACTTTGCATATATTTTGTGTAATAATACTTACCACTGCTGGGCCCAAGGATCTGAGGCACTAGGCCCACTCCAGGGACCTCTCTCAACTCAGGACCCATGAATGCATTTGGATCAAGTTTCTTGAAGTCTTTGGTCCTTTAAGCTCCCATTACAGTGCCCTGGGGAAAATCACTTGAAGCCTGGTTTTGGCTCATTTTTGGGTGCTTTCAAAAAGGGAGGGGTAGAAAGGTGCTCAGTGTATTCTCTACATCAAGTATAGAAGAACTATTTCCTCTACCCAAAAGAAATGCTTACTATAAAGACTCACAAACTTTAATAAAAGACTTAAAACAAGATAGAGTAGTTTTAACTACTGTTACCCTAATATGGAAGATTGATATTTAAACCATCAAAATAAAAAACATTTTATAAGACCACTAAAGAAACATTTTTCATTTTACCTTAACTTTGTACTATCCAAATAATTCCCTTCAGATCCATATTTTCTGACAATCTAGGCCAAAGATTGGACTCGTGCTTTTGTCAGGATAGAATGCAGAAAACCTCCCTGACATCAGGCAGCTCAAACCAAAGGAAGGAGCATCACTGGACCTCCTGAATTCACAAAATTGCCTCTAAGATGAGACACATCCATCTTTGGGATTGCTGTTCCATCACCTACACTGAACAAAGAAATAAAAGAGGCAGTCAGGGATCCAAGGCCCAGGCTCAGGCTTGCCTACACAGGTGACTTAGCTGCCACATACTTGAAATTCACTATGTTTTTTCCTGAAGTAGGTGGGCACCAGTACTCTCCCCCTACCCCTCCAGAGACAGGCGCAAATAATCCTTACATTATCTTCACATGAGAGAGAGAGAGACAGAGAGACAGAGAAGCAGAGGATCCACTGAGTCATTTGACATTTGTTTTTAGTGACAAATAAAGGGATTGCTTTGTCGTCCTGCATAACCTGGATACATCAGCTATGATCTCTCCCCAAAAGCAATCAGGATGTAGGCTCAGCACACATGGCTTTCACTCTCAATTCAATCCCTGGTACATTTGAGCAAAATGTTTTATTTTGTTTTGTGCTATTGTCTTAAAATCAACTACTAGTACTTTTGCCTTTCTACCTACAAAAACCTTGTATTTATTTTTCATGTGTAAGCAGCTAGTGGTTCTGGAGAGGTAGGCAGTCAGAACTGTCAATCATACACTCAGTCAACAGACATATTGAATATGGTTTATGAGATCTGCTTCCCTCATGCACCGCTCTTCATTAGAGGTGCAGCATTCTCAGAGCTCACTTCTGCCTTTGAAGGACAAAGTTTGTCCTTCAAAGTCCAGCATGGCAAATGGCACCACAAAAAAAAAAAGTAAAAGGAATATGTTTAAGCTGTGCCCTGCAAACCTATTTTCTTATCAGCTTATAATTTACTTTGGATTTTGAATCCTTTACCAGGTTTCAATACTAACCTCCCACTTTGCTAACTGTTCTAAATAAACCCCCAAGTTCAGTCTAAACAAGTCATTCCATCTCCCTAAAACAAAGAACATCTCTTCTTTCTACTCTGTTTCTGTAAACATTAGCCAAAACGTGCCACACAACTTTGAATTTCTACAGAAGTATTTTATTACATTTTTGTTGATGTCCAGCAGAGATCATTGTTGAGGACAGTTGGGATGAGGAGTGTCCTTTCCCTTTGGATGAATTAAGTGGAATTGATCAGATTTGTTTCCACCCAGCCTAGGGTTGGTTGAGTGAGACCTTCTCTAGAAGTTTCTACTTCCCCTCCCTCTCTCTTACTTTGGGGGATAGGGAAAAAACAAAATACCGTAGTATTACCGAGAGACTTACATGCATGGAGATCATGAGAATATCTCATGAGGATTTTAGAGGAGAGTAAGACAGTGTTGGCATTTGAATCATCCTTACCACCCTGGCTCAGGGCTCCCTGAAGTTACTCACAACCTACAGTTCAGCCTCCCTAGCTCCAATCCAGGGTCCGACTCATCATGGCAATTATGTCTTCCTCCCTCCTACTTGTTTCTCTGCTTTCGTGGCTTCTGCCTCTCCTACCCAAAATCTTTTACCTGAAGTTCAGGATCTGAATAGTCTGCTCCCCTGTCCAATTCTAAAAACTCCCAGGAACCTAGGGACCACAGAGAAGAAGACTTTCTCCCAACAACCAACCATATCTCCCTCCTCTTGCTACGTGTATATCTACTTTCATACTATCTCTCCAATTCAATATAAGATCCTTGAGGACAAGGACCATATCATTTTGGGTTTTGTATCTTTAGCTCCTAGCACCATGCCTGACATATAGTAGGTACTTAATAGATGCTTGTTGATCATTTGATTGATTGAGGGCAGGCTGAAATAAATATTAAGTAAGCACTACCAAAATTCATGTGAGTATACCTTTCTGCATGCTGGCTGGCTAATGCTGCAGAACATTAGCTTCTGAGTCTATATGACCTACAAAATTCCTAATCCATAATTTTATCAAATTTTAGTTTCTATTGCCAATTACTCCAACTTTTTGCTTATAATATCACAAGAATGGGAAGCACTAGTCAGTAATTTACATTTCTGGACAATTCACATTTTACATTTTCTCAAATGTGAAACTCAGAAGCAAGAGTACTAGCGTTTAAAAATTGTATCTGGTATGTTGATTTGCACGGTCTAGTAACTAGCGAAAGAGAAATGGAAACTGATTGAAAGGTTTAGTAATTGTTTCTAACAATTTGACCTAGATAATTAGTGCATTCTCTCAGGGTTAAAATTGGGTGGTATCTTACCATATTTCAAATATTCCCTATACCCTTTGCTCCTAGTCAGTATCTCTTTGAGAGAAGAAGAAAAAAATTGGAAATGCTCTTTCCTACAAATAGCAGGTGAGGAAAGTAGATACAATATCTTTTCCCTTTAAATTATTAACTAGATCACTTTTGTACCTTTTCAGTTATTGATATGGTTAATAGCTATGCATAGACCAAATAAAATACAGCTGGAAAAACTTGAAAAATATAATATTCATCTTCTTACCAGTGAATAGAACAGCCAAGACTTTTAATTGGATTCATCTCAAATATTCCTTGAACAAAGAATTTCCCTGAGCCTACTGAATATTAAATCCATTTAGTAGGTAAAATATTTGATTTATACAATGTAAAATTATATGAGTCCTCATTCTTTGCTAAGTTAATTTATATCTAAGAGTGGGCCACAGGCTAATGCTAGAAAATAACTGAACAGCCTCTCCTCTATTGCTTCTGCATCATTTTGAGAAGAAAAATTAACTCTGGAGTGTATAATAAAAAAGTCGCTTTTAAATCATCTATTCTAGCAGAAAGAAAAATGGCATTTTTTCCTACTTATATCTTTCAAGTTATATAATGAGGTCATTATTGCAAGAAAATGATTCCTCAATCCAATTGCCTGAAATCTCTGTCATAATAACTTGATTTAGATTGTAAAGAAACAACTATACCCTGACTTTTCAATTAATAGAAATTCATTTCCCAATTCCTTTCCTCCCCCATCATTTCTTCCAAAACTCATGACAAAACAAATAACTATTCAATCTAAGCAACTTCTAAAAACACAACCAAAAGTCACACTATAATTGTCAAGTTTGATGTTCTTCCTTATCTTTTTCTTGAGAACATTTCATATAGTTTTATTGAAGAAGTCTCTGTGCCCCTCTGTTCTTTCAGATGAAAAACTCTGCTACAGGAAGAAAAACAGGCTTGGTGTGGTGCAGATATTGCTAAATTGAATTTCATAAGACTTAGATGCATATATGGTAAATAATAAGACCACTGGGAAATGGCACATGCCATGGGAAATAGGGGAAGCAATCCCTCAATCTGAGACTCACAAAGATGCTAAAAGAACAAGATTTATCAGGTGCTTACTATTCGCGGGCACAAGGTGCTAGAGATACAAAGACACAAAGTGAAATACACTCTGCCCTTAATAGTTTATGTTCTAACAGAAGAGACAATGTACCTACATTAGGATATCTAGGACACATACAAAGCAGACATAAGATTACCTTGGAAAGGAAGGCAATAGTAGCTGAGGACACCTCCTACCTCCTTAAGAAGATGATGTTTGAAGTTGAAGAAAGTCAGTGACTCCAAGAGACAAAGCTAAGGAAGGAATAATTCTAGGTATCAGGGACAGCCCACGCAACAGTACAGAGGCAGGACACCAAATACAATGTGTGAAGACCAACAAGTACAATATGGCTGGATTGCAGAGTTCATGGAGGGAAATAATATGTTAAGGAGACAAGAGGTAAGAAGGGACCAGCATATGAAGAGCTTTAAATGCCAAACTGAGAAGTCGATATTTGATCCTAGAGGTAATAAGAAGCCTCTGGGCTTTATTAATAAGTAGATGGTGTGATCAAATCTGCACTTTAGGAAAATCACTTTGCCAGCTACGTGGACAATTGTTAGAGCAACAAGAGGCTTGAGGCAGGGGGATCAATTAGACTATTTCAATTGTCCAGATAAGTCCTTGGGGTTTAACTAGGGTGGGGGATATAAGTAGAAAGGAGATATACACAAGAGATGTTGTGAAGATAGAAAGGACAAGGTCACTCATAAAAATGCCTAAAAGCAAAAGGCCTAGCATTGATCCCTGGAGCATTCCACTAGACATCTCCAGCCAAGTTTGATAACAAATCGTTAATTACTATTCTCAAACTGCAGCCATCCAACCAGTTCCAAATCCATTGTGCTATGATCTAACCCACAAAAATTAGAGATATTTTATCAAATGTTTTCCTAAAATCTAGGTAAAGCATATCTACATTATTTCCCTGTTGTACCAATTTAGTAAACTTGTTGAAAAGGGAAATAAGATTAGTCTGACTTTGACCCAGCAATACCACTACTAGGTCTGTTTCAAAGATGATTAGTGAGAAAGGAAAAGAAACTATATGCTCTAAAATATTTATAGCAACTCTCTTTGTGATGGCACAGAATTGGATATTGTGGGGATGTCCATAAATTGGAGAATGGCTGAACAAGTTGTGGTATATGATCATAATAGAATACAACTGTGTATAAGAAATTATGAGTTCAATGATTTTAGAAAAGTATACTGGGTAGACTTGCATGAAATAATGAAGAGCAAAATGTCATAACATGATGCAGTCATACTGGCTCATTGTAATTACCACTTCTTTCTCTAAATATTCACTAATCAGCTCATTAATAATCCAATCTAGAATTTTCCAAGTACTTGAAGACAAGCTCAATGGCCTCTAGTTTTCAAATTCTGTTCTCTTCCCATTTTTGAAAATTGGAATAACATTTGCCCTTCCCCAGTCCTGTGGCACCTCTTCACTCTCCATATACTCTTTCAAATATCACTGACGGGGGCAGCTAAGTGGCGCAGTGGATAGAGCACCGGCCCTGAAGTCAGGAGTACGTGAGTTCAAATCCGGCCTCAGACCAAACTTGAC